ATAAAAAGAAGTGGATCAAGAACAGAGCCTTGGGGGACGCCAGTAGTGACAGGAAAGGGACGGGAAGTGAAGGATTTGAGTTGAATAAACCAAGTACGGCCAGAGATATATGAATAAAATGCTCTATGCAAAGATGTCTGAAAGTGCTCGGCAACCACTGTTGTTTTCACACATATAATTATAACACAATTCCCTTTCCAAACTACATAATGGAAATTTCGCTAATGAGCATTTTCTAGAAAGATATTTAAACAAACAAACAAACAAACAAACAAAGCTTCAAATCTACTCAACTGTTGCACAGAAACACAACAAATGGAGGCCCTGAAAAGCCTCTGTATGAGTTCTGATGGGAGCAAAATCCACATCATGATCTTTCCTTTGGCGGCAGACTGAGACACCCAAGATGTAAAACAGAACGCTGCCGTAGAGCATGCATTCCCACTGCAGTAAGACTGTATAAATCCACAACTCCTAAACCTGCTACTGTCATTATCCTGTTACACACCAACTTCAGAGATAATCAATACTTGTGCAATACCCGGATGCACATCAGTATGCCTGTGTGTTTATGCCGTTTCTTTGTGGAAACTCAATTTTTTATTTTTGCTCTATTTGTATTTGTTTTCTGAGTGCTGAGGGTTATGGTAATAGCTTTCTGCCCTTGTGTATTTACCTATATTATTTTTTTCTACTTCTCTAAGTGTATGTGCTTCCTTTACAAGTAATTTTCCTCATTCTATTCTATTCTATTCTATTCTATTCTATCACACATCTAGAAACAGCAGTTTTGAGTGTTTTTAATGAAAACAAAGTAAAGACAAGTTGTAATGAACTACCAGCTTTACACTATATGTGGATTAATGAAACATGCTATTTCCATCTGCATCATATCTTGAGTCTTTTCTAATAGTTATTGAAGAAAGATCATGCAAAATAGCAAAGATTAACAATACATTAGCCCTTAAATATAGAACCGTTAAGATGGAACTCCAGCTTTACACTCAGTTTTAGTTCTTTCTGGTTTATTGGAACCAAATATAGAGATACCAGTGAGAATTACCAGCGCTGAGGTCGTTTTTATATATGCCTGCGGCTCAGAGTGCGGTGGACTCAAACACTCAGTTATTAGAGGAGCTTATTTGCACAAAAGAAGGAAGTGCTTGTTTGGCTATGTGAAAATATTGGCACTAGATGCTTCTGCTAAAAGCTGCACAGGCAACCATAGACAGCTGAACAGGAAGTGACTGGTCATACTGTCAAAGCCTTGAAACAGGCCCACTTCTGCTTTCAGACAGCAAGAGAGAGAGAGAGAGAGAGAGAGAGAGAGAGAGAGAGAGAGAGAGAGAGAGAGAGAGAGAGAGAGAGCGCTTGACTTCCTAACAATACCCAGACTGCCATCTTACTGTGATAAACTGCATCAATATTATTGATTAGTGTCTTCTTTAACATAAATGTGTTCAAATACATCTTTATTTTGTCTCATGCATATTTATTCTGTTGATGTCAATCTTTCATCTCCAAAATGTGACTTATTGTACTCATTTAGATTTTAAAAAATGATAACAGTTTTTGAAAACGCATAAGATGTAATCTGAGTGTTTCTTCATAAGCATCTCTTTGATAAGTTCATGTTAACCCTTTGGTGCATAATGGTCACTACAGTGGACAGGTACTCAAAAATTTTTTTTTGTTTTTGCTATTAAGCACAGCTGTTGAAGACTTTATTGCATGTGAGCCCCTCCATTTGTTTTATTTATGTTTATTTATTTGGCAGACGCTTTTATCCAAAGCGACTTACAATTTATGATCTATAGGACATGTTGTGATCTGTGGGGGAAACCGGAGTACCCGGAGGAAACCCACGCATGCATGGGGAGAACATGCAACTCCACGCAGAAAGGCCACAGCCGAGTTTCGAACCAGCAACCTTTGTGCTGCGAGGCAACAGTGCTAACAACTGTGCCACCATGCAGCCCATTTGGACTTCAGTAAGTCAAGCCAACATATTTCATGCTCAGAATGCACGCTGTCCACTGAGGTGGACATGTAATAAATTATTTGTAAATTATAAAATTTTCCAAAAAATATTTGTTGAAATTTGTTTCATTCACACCTAAAGACGAATGAAAAAAATTGTTAAAAAATCATGGTTGAAGATTTCATAATTCATGCATCAAAGGGTTAATATTCGCTCCTTCTTCCATAGGAGCCTGTTATTCTTAGGAGCCAAATAAATCAAAGGATTCATTTCCTTTCTGAAAAGTGACCAAACAACAGTTGGCAGCATTTTACCGTTTGGACTCAGTGGAGGAGAGAGAGAGCAGAGGAGCATGATTCCACTGGGAGCAAAGTCTGACATTATTTCCCTTAATGATGTTGGTAAGATCTTAGTCAGTATGTTCTCCTTCCTAGATCCTAGAACACGTCCCATCAGGCAGAACTATGATTTTCAGGATTTTTTTTCATCATCGCTAATGTTATCTGCATTGCTGCTGTTTTACAAATTTTTGGATAATACTTTAAATTTGGTTTATTAAATTGCATATTCCACAATAAAAGTCCCCTCAAAAGCATGTTGCTCTTGGCAACTACTGGTTGGAAAGCTAACCCCTTTTGACTCATGTCTAAACCAAAAACTCCCCAGGTGTGGGATCTGCAGGCTGCAGTCATCTCATTCTTTTTTTTTTTTAATAAACAAAAAAGTTCGACCTGTCGGAACCAAATTGTCTTTGGTGTGTTTTGTTTTGAGAACTATTAGTAAGTGAATCGACACCCATCGTTGCGTGTTGCCTCTGCAAACTTTGCCACAGTTGAACAGGACATGCAGAGCCTGAAATGGCAGCGGCAACCTGTGAGGCCATCTGAATTTAGCTCACGAGAGTTGTGCAGATGAATTTGCCCCTCCATGCCATAGGTCATGAAAATGTGTGCAGATTTCAAAGCTTGCAGGTGCGGTGCACGAGCAAAACCTGTGAGAGATCTGTCAGGCTGCATGCTCTGGATCCGCTAAAGAAAGCAGAAAAAAGAGAATCTAGTCTTTTACTTCCTGAACTTCAAAAGATGCTTCACCTCCTGAGTGTGGCCATCTGAAGCCTCGCTGGTGTTTGACCCTCTTCTCCCCACATTTCTTTCACCTTTTCTCCTTGTTTTGATTAACATTGTAGACCCTTGGTCTCCTCTCTGAAATCCCAGCAAATGTGCTTTGGAGGCCTGAAACTTAAATTAAAATTTAAGGAGGATTTTGCCTTTGATATTGGAAAAAATTGTATTTTAACACTTTTTCAACCTTGTTCAAAGTCTTCCTGTATCAAAATTATGGTTATTCTCATGTTCTTGTCGTTTAAAATCACACTCTGCATGTAAATGCACGGTTCCTGTCATGTTCATATGATGAGGTCTGTGGTTTTTTTGACAATGAAAAATAGCTTTTGTCTCACATGGATGGATGACACCTCATGATATTTAATTTAGGGGTAATATGTATTCAAGAAAAGTCTTCAAAGAGTTTTGTAATCTAATATTTTTCAATTTTATTTATTCATTGTTTTTTTCTGTTTTGCAGAAAAGGCTCATAAAATTTGAGGTTTTATATGAAAGTGCTCTAATTACAGGAACTCAGCTGAGGAAACTGTCAAAGCTGATTAATATCAATCACACACACACACACACACAAACACACACACACACACACACACACACACACACACACACACACACACACACACACACACACACACACACACACACACACACACACACACACACACTCGGATGAAAATAACAAGAGAGAAAAAGCAGATTTTCAGCTTTTTGTGTAAAACCTTGGAGTTTGTAAAAATGTGAAGAAGGAAAAACGTTTTTTGTTTTGTTTGGATCTTTTTTTTAAAATCAAGTAGCGTGCAGACTTAAAAGAATCATCCATGATTTCATCAGAAAAGTCAAAACTTTTCTGTGTTTCGTAGCTTATTTAGATTAAGTTAACTTGAAAGTAAAGACAACATGAATGAAAGGCTGGCACTGAGCTGAAATTATTCATCTACAACTCGACAGTTTTCTGCTTTAGAAACTTTAAAAGAATACATAAAAATTCAAACGAGATGAACTTCACACATTCAGTTTTTTAATTTCTAATGTAATTTTTGAAAAAATAAAAGAGATCCCAGCTAGATGAATAACATATCATCGCCCTGTTTGTTTCCGAGCTCTGTGAAAGCTGTGGCCTTCTGTCAGACTCAAGTGTTGCACATTAGTGGATTAATCTTCATGGACGTGATGCGTCTTAATGCTCGGTGACCTATCAGAGGGGCCCGGCAGCGCGTCTCGCTGCGGTTTCTGCAGCATTCGGCTCCTGTCTGAAAGTTTTTCCAGGAGAAACTGTTCTTCCTCTAGAGGCCATCTTCTGCGTCTGAGCTGGATGATTAAACGACTTGGTGTCACCAAATAAAAACAATTTAAAATGAGCAAATCACGGTAAGTAAAGACAATTAGAGCGTTCGGCTTAAAACAACCGCACAAGACCTAAACTAAACTTCATCATTCATTTAACTATTTAAGACTTGTTGCGCCCCAAATGAATAAATAATTAAATATTAACTTGGAATTAAATATAATTGCTATTTTTGACTTCTTAAGGATTACATATTTTCTAAATATTTAAAACGCACATGTTTCAGTTGAATCTAATTCTCATCATCTTTCAGATTTGCTCAAATCATTAACGAGAACCGGATTAAACGATGTCATCGTTGAATTCGCTAATTTATAAACCCATCACCTGCTCAGTGATGAAATCTGCGCGCTCCTACAGGACCTCCTTGTCACTAAAGCTATTCAGTTGAATTTAAACAGTAAAATCAGAAGCTCGTAAATACTAGACAGCCAGTGACTATATGAGTTTTCAAAAACCGCAAAGCGCGTCAGCGTCAGATTATTTGTTTAATTCTCGTTAATTGGCAGAACTTTTTAAAAGTGTGGTAATGGAGAAAAGTGAGTCTTACCTGCCCTGTTTGGTGATGATCATCTCCGTTTGGAACTTGTGGAATTTGGCCCAGAGCGGGTAGTTATTGAGCAGAACCTGAGTCTTCCCGCACACCTGCAGGCCAGGTAAGGGATAGAGAGGCCGCTGGTAGCCGTGCTGGAAGCCCGCCGGGTAGCTCTCCGTTGACGTTGAATACACGTCTTTCCCACCGGAGGGAAACCCGTCTCCCGGCGTCGGGATGTAACCCTGTCCGGTGCCACTCCGCGGCGGGGAGCGCACGCCGCCGTATGGGCAGTTGCTCAAGGTCTGTGCGTAAAACCTTCCGGGCTGCGGCGCGTAGCCCCCCACCGACTGCTCTGGGTGGTACTGCAGAGCCAGCGAGTCCTGGCCGGTCGTAACCGAGTCCGAGTAGTAGAACCTCGTGTCCTGAATTCCCATTTTGAACTCGGCCAGGTCCTTGCTGCCGCGGTGGAGGTGACTGCTGATGTCAGCGCTCTTTCCGAGAGTTTGCGTTTCAGTCCCATTCAACATGCTGAAGTAGAGGTTGCCACCTATGCCGCCCATTTGCAGCCCCGCTCCCGGACTGTGTCAAAAGTCATAAGTTAAACTCAGGAGTCCGGATGAAGATCAGCATGCACGATAAATAAAACAAAAACAGCGCGCACGGGGAACGCACCTTTATGGCTCAGAGCGCACGGACATGCTGGTCTAACCTCCTCCTCTCAAACATCCCGCTCTAATTTACACAAACTTTCTTTTTCTTTTTTTGATTCTTTTTTTTTACTTCAGGACTGGGTTGACGTCTTTTCTTTTTGACGCGTGGAGACACAAGAAGTGACTCAAACACATGCTCCACTTTGAAACCTGTGATATAGTAAGTGGTCATGTTGCGGAGGAGTGTCTGATGCGGAGGGAGGACGTGATAGGCTCCAGATATGAACGAGCCACCCCCCTCATAGAGTGAACACACACACACACACACACACACACACACACACACACACACACACACACACACACACACACACACTCTCTCTCTCTCTCTCTCTCTCTCTCTCTCTCTCTCTCTCTCTCTCTCTCTCTCTCTCTCTCTCTCTCTCTCTGATGTCTAGAATCAGCAATTATAAATTATTCAAAAATAAATAATTTTCCTGAGCACGTGACTGTTAAAACACTGTTTTGGATGTAATGGATGCTTATGCATTTGCTGCACAAATGTTCTCTTATAGGTAAGAATAAAGCAGCAAAACAGCGCGCTGTCCTGCGTGATTTGTCTTGATTTTTATTGATGAGAGAACAGCCGTTTTAATTAATTCTTCACCATTTCCTGACCATTTCTCTTCAAACCTCTCTTCATTAAAATTAGCTTTTATTGTAATTTACTGAAATCGTTTCAAGAAACAAAACTCATCGCCCACTCTTTGTAGCCGCGTGTTTTTTCTCTTTTTCGGCTTATTTAAAACCCATAAACCATCAGATTGAATCATCAGCTCATAATGGATTTGGTTTCCCTTTTCCATTTCAGTCATGCTCCGCCTCAGAAAGTACAGCTGGCTTTTAATAAAAAAGTAGGGTTTTTGTAAATAATAAACAGTTCATATTTTATCATTAACTGTGGAAATGAACTCAAAATAAGATCATGTTTTCTTGAAAAGAAGAAGTAATGATTGATTTAAATTATCATTTTTAAATATTTACTAAAAGTTGTGATGATTTAAATCAACATTTGATCTTTATTTTGAGATAATTTGGTACAAATATTAAGAAGATTTATTAGTTTAATTTGATCGGGTATTCATCTGAAGCCAGCATATTTTTGACAAACCCTTCAAGGTGCATGGTAATGCAAAACTCATCAGAGAAGGGTTTAAAGGTATGAAACACTGAAAAACTAATTTTTAATTATTATTTCTGATTAAATCAGTCACTCTGAGTGTTTTGTGCAGGCTCCAACACCTATCTCCATCATTAGCTGATTATAGACGATGAAATTAGGTGGTGAAACTCCAGGACTTGAAAATCCTGACAGATCTACGTCACACTGTACAGTGGTTCCCAACCCTGGTCCTCAGGGCACACTGTCCTGCATGTTTTCCATGTTGCCCTTTTAAACACCAGTGCTTCCCTGCTGCCACACACCTGACTTAAAGTGAGGGTCAATGCAAGGGTGGAGATGTATTTCATCCACACTTCCTGTTAGGAAAACGCTTCTGAAAGAGGCGTCACCTGGCGGACCGAGAGAGCGGCACTGAGGCAGTGGTAGACCGCACTTCCTCAACCCCCTCGCGTGTGCTGTCAGAGTTTCTCAATCTAAAAACGAGTTATTAACAAGCACGTGCACTTAAGCACGCACTCATACAAGACTTACGCTCAAGAGAAAAGCAAACACAGATTCTGCAGCATTCTGGAGGATTTCCCGTTAAACACGATCATCAGATGAAAAAGGGGAGGAGGGCATTTTTTTCAAGGAGGCGAGCGGCTCCGAGCGCCTATCGGTCATATCAGCAGGTGAGTTGCTGAGCCAGGTGGAGATGTGGCTGTCTCACCTGGAGACCAGTGACACTCATCTATACAGGTTATCAGCAAAATAAAAGTTAATTTAGGCGTTACTTGCTCTTTAAATAAATGAGTGATTAACAGGCATCTGCAGCAGTTGATGTCCTCCTGAAGAGCCAGTGTGAAGCAAGTGTGGTGAAGCAGAGACATGGAAACCATGTAGGACAGTGTGCCCTCAGGACCAGGTTTGGGAAACACTATGCACTCACCCATCTTGACTCATGAACGGGGAAGGTTGTTGATGGTTTAGTGTCCAGGAAACAGCAGCAAATGTTTCAGCTAATCGTTAGCTTTGGCAATTCCACCACACAGCAGAACTCCTTCAAACTTGTGTGTGCAGATGAAACATCAGTGTTGCAAGTCAGTGGTGGAGTTGTGTTGCTGTTATACAGTATGAGGCTAGATGCCCAAATTTTAGGAAATAGGATGACTTACAAGGTATTCAAGACCACTGCAAATTTATTCATTACATGAGTGTTCCACACCTTTATATCCACAATTTTCCTCATTTGAAAAACATAGAGTTAAAGGTGACGAGATTTGTTTGTTTTTGAACAACTGGCTCATCTGAGAGCATCAGGTCAGGTTAAAGTCTGCAATCTGAACTTTCAGAATGTCTCCTGTTTGAATGGTGGAGTGATTTGGATCAAACAGGAAGTGGTTCCATACATTTCCTGTCTGCTCCTGGAGTTCTCCCCTGTGATTGCATGCACGCACACACACACACACACACACACACACACACACACACACACACACACACACACACACACACACACACACACACACACACACACACACACACACACTGCTCCCTCCCATCCCACAGTGCAGGTATGACACACTTATCCCCCCAACACTGTCACAGCTCTAATCCCACTTCCTGTGTCTCTTTTAGCAAGGTGAGCTCACAAGGGCGCTCTGTGAAGTCATCACTGTTGACATGGGTGGCGAGGGGCCATGGTCTGAGCGACACCCCTGCTGCCACAGCTAGCCAGGCGTGTGTCCACCCCCCTCCGGCTGCCACTTCCTCTACTCCACTCTCCCCGCTTCCGGTCAGAGCCTGGGGCCGCCACCTTGTTAAACTAAATCAGCTTTTATTTCTTGTCGGCAGCAGGTCAGGTGAGTCTTCTCAACACTGTCTTTTATCCTGCTGGAAAACCTGAAATTTCAGCCATTAGCTTCTGAACCCCAAAACTCCTGCTGCTGGCTGTTTTGTAATGAATGTAACACAGAGTGAGTCAGTCTGTGTGAGCAGCAGTTATAAATACTCCACTGCAACTGGACACGGATGTAAAAGCTTATTGGCTGTAAAGAATGCTGTAAAAGTAAGTGTTGTTGGCTTGTAAACAACTTCTGTGGGGCATAGACTATAGAGAAGTCATCAGATGTTTTAACATTTTCATCACGATAGCTGATAAAGTGAAAATATTTTAGTTTTGTGACATTTTGATTATCTCAAAACGCCAAGGCCTCCATGTGAAACCCTCTTCAATAGCAACATTTTCTGTTTGATACATTTTGAGTTAATAATCTGATAGAAACCGATTATTTTGGCATTAATCTAGCCACAGATGAAATTAAGCACACCAACCTTCTTATCTCTAACACTGAGTTCAGGATTTTCTGATGGTCTTTGTGGCTCATTGTGCATCTCTTTATGCACCCGTGCAGCAGCAGTAATGACTAATAGAAGTCAAACTGATTCTTTTGCTGCCAAACAGGAACACTGCCAAGCTTTTGCTGGTTTCATTAGAAATGAAATATGTTCCTGTAAATTACAGGGATTTAAAACTAGAGACAAAGTTTGGGTTGAGTTTATTTACTCACCTAAATAATTGGAGCAAATGTTGGACAGATTTTAGTGTCAAATTGGATTCTGTTTCCCAAAGTGAGCAACAAAATATGACCATAATTTATTCATCGCTCAGATTATAATTCCTCATCAATCAGACTGAAAAAAAATAATGAATGATCAGATACATTCTTTAACCTGTTCTCATAATAGTTACCATCGTTATGCAATCAGGCTCAATAATTTTATGAATACGTTTTTAACTAAGATCAAAAACCTCCCCAAACATCTATTTGACCCTTATGAACTATACTCAAACTGAAAGTCAAGTGTGAGGGAAAATCAAAGAAGGGGGAAAAAAAAACTCATATTTCTAAGTTTTACCTCCATGAAAATGACAGTGATTACTATTTTTCTACAGAATGTCCAAGGAACCATTCATTTTAAAAGCACCCGATTACAACAGAAGCAGGTAAGTCTGTGTCCACTAAAGCCCAGCTCGCATGCTGGGAATTTTAAATGGTTGGCCGATTTTCAAAGCATAGAAGACCATACACATGATGATGAAAAAGACCGCAGATAAGCCAGCTTTGGTCGCACAGTCTTTGTTGTGTTGCAGCTCTGCAAATACTACAAACTACACACAACTTGCTTTCACTTCCCCCGTGTGAAAGAGGAATCTCACATGGTAAAATGTGACCAAACAAATATGTTGGAGGAGGAGCTTGCTGCACGCTTCAGTTAGCTCCCTTTCTAATTGGCTACATGTCACATTCAACAGGCAGCACTCTTGTTGTTCCCCAATATCAGACCAAGAAGAATTAATGCTGTTCTGACATCCTTCAGAGCTGACCAGAGCACTTGTAACACACCACACAAACTAGGATAATCTGATAAGATTTTCTTTATAGCTGTTATGGTGATTGTGAGGAATCTTAAAGCTGTTGGAACTGCAGGACTGGTCAAAAATCGGCTTGATCATTCTTCTTTGTGAATCAAGCTTTATGCAGCTGAGGGTAAAAGATGGATTATCAGTATCTCAGAAGGTAAAACGGGTTGCCCAGCAATCTGAAGGTTGTAGGATCGATCCTGGCTCCCAGCTGACAAATCTGCTGTTGTGTCCTTGGGCAAGGCACTTCACCCACTTTGCCTGCTGGTGGTGGTCAGAGGGCAGCTGCAGTTACAGTGTAGCTCATCACGACCAGGATGTGAATGTGTGTGTAAATGGGTGAATGACAAGCCCCCACAATGCGGCTCAAAAATTGAGCCCAACCCCAAAGTACCAAAAATTGCAGTTCCACCCTCATCCACTGGGGGTTGGTGCCAGAAGCGAGCAAATCCTCATTGACTCCCATGTTAAAAATACCAATTTCACAGCAGAAATAAACATGTTTACAGCCTGGTACCAAAACATGTTTTTGGTTTAAATTATCTAGTTTACACTCATGACAACTCAGATGGGGGTGATTTTTTTTCTCACTCTTCTGTTTAAGTGTATTAAAAGCCTAAAATTCTGT